TCCGGCTCCCGTTTCTCCATATCCAGATAGTTCTGTGTGATCCCCTGAAGACTCCCCACGATTTCAACCCAGTACCCCTCGAAGTAGTACTCGTTTTCAAGGTGGATCTTTTCTCCCCACCTGTGTTAATATTAAATCAAATATATAAAATTTTTGAATTTCAATTAAAACTTATAAGATTATGCAAATAATATAATTATGCTTTTTCACATTATTAAAAAAAAAGCTCAAAATATTCTGATTTATTTTAATCATAATAAATTTTATTTATTAAATTTATTTACATTAAATACAACATAAATTACCTGTCTTTTTCCTTAATAAGGAGATAAATGAGCGCTGACTGGTCGTCGGAATCCGGGAAAAGCTTGTCCGGCAACTCGGCCCGAAGAACCTCACCCCAATGCTTATAATCCGGGTTATGCGGGCCAAGCCGAGCCCACCGGGCCAAGAAATCGAGCGACCACTGGCAGTTACGGAGGAGGAAAACTCCGGCGTTTAGGGCAGTCCAGCTCCGATTCTCGTATACGAGATTGGGCCAGCCATGAACGACTAGATTATACGATTGGTATCTCTGGAGCGGAAGCTGGAACTCCATGTCGGTGATCGCAGCGTCGGAATCGACCCACCAAAGCCACTCGGCTTCCGGATGGGCGATCATGGCGGCGCGGAGGAGGGGAAGCTTCGCCCAGAAGCTGGGCATGGATGGGTGAAGAAGGGCGGAGTTGTAGAAGACGTCGATGCCGTGGATGCGGGAGTAATCGACCTTGTTTTTGAAGAAGCGGAGGAGGAGATGGTCGCCGATGGGGTTAGGGCATGGGGAGGGTTGGGAGCCGGTGAGCATGAGGATGCGGTTGGGAGGGAAGGGGTGGAGGTGGCGCCAGAGGCGGCGCTTGGTGTCCCAATCGGAGACGGAAGGGGAAGGGGGGAGGGAGTAGGACAGGGAAGGATCGTCGTAGAAAGAAGGGGTATCAGAGGAGGAGGGTTTTTGGAATTGGTTGGAGGAGACGGGATATGGGGTTGGGGGAAGAATAAAGGAGGAGAAGACATAGAAGAGGAGGAGAGCGGCGGCTGCGCCGGATAAGAAGATGAGCACGTCGGCTGAGAGGGAATAGGCATTTGGGAGGCGCGATGGCGGTTTTGGCGTCAAGGGGGTTGGGATTTGCAGAGAGTGGGAAGTGCTCTCCGGCGGCATTTCTTAGAGAAGAGAGAGAGAGAGAGAGGGAGAAAGCAAGCGAGCAGAGTGCAGAGGGCGTAGTGGAGGGTACTTTAGTGGAGAAAAGTCGGTGGGCTGTCGTGGGAGAAGTGAAAACATAGTCGCAGAAAGAAATTTATAAGGTTTAAAGCATAAAATAATACGGTGGCAATTTAATAAATATCTTCAAATCTTATTTTTAGATGAAGAGTATAAGATCAAGGTCGTGAAAATCGGATCGGTCAACGAACCGGTAGAGAGAGTGGTTCACGGTTTGATCGGTCGAACCGGATGACCTAATAAATATATTTAAAAAAATAAATATTTTTAATTTAACTATTTATTTGTAATATTAATTATTTTATGTTATATGTATTATATATACATATAAAATATATAAACATATAAAATTTTGGGTCAATATTATGTGTCATTAATTCAACACAAGGGTTATGTTTTCGAAATCGTGGGGAGGAGATTTTGCCGGAATTACGGGCTTTTGGAATGTGGGCTTCCTCTAAGAACAAGAAAGTGGACCACGACATTCGTGACACGTGGCTCATCTCCGTTGCATCCGGTGGCGACATTTACTTCCTAGTTCGGGCTTTTGCACATGCTTCTTGCCGACTTTTATGATTCTTCATTGATTGATATTTTGGGTCGGTCCTTGGGTTTATCTCATGGGATTTTAAAAGAGGGCCCGAAACACTAACCCGTTCTTTTAAGGAGTTTGATGTAAAGAGAGAGCAAAATATTTTAAATATAGAAAATTTAAAATATTAATATTAGATCGAGAATAAAAATAAAATACAGTATAAAGTTTTAGTGTTTTTTTTTTTTTAAGTTCATTTTTGATGACTTGTAAATTCATTCCATTCTGATTGAATTCTATTTTTTACTACAAGCGAGCTACTTATCATCACCAGCAGTCATCGCTAACTTATTGCCACCACCAACGTCACTAGGCATTGCTTGCGGCTGATAGCCTCCCCTGTGAACTACAAATTTCTATGATTCCAAACATTAGCCTATATAATAGAATATGTTGCAACTCCCATGCACTATACCAAGGCTTGTGGAGGTTTAGAGTGTATCAATCTTCTTCCCTAGCATAATCACCATGGTTCTTTTGTTTACCTTCCAAGTGTCAACATTAAATGTGGTATTACATCTTTCTGTTACGAGCTATTCTATAGAGATTAAGGTTTTGTTTGGAACGATTTTTGTGTTGCTTCTTAAAGCAGCTTTTTAGTACAAATGCATTAGACAGCTGCTTTAAGAAGCAATAAAAAAATCGTCCCAAACGAAGCCTAAGTATCCTTTTAAGAGCACATCATCCACAAGAAACAGTCTGCCATGATTGTATGCAGAGTAATTTATCAATAATTCTCTTAAAAAAGAAGTATGAAATGATACACTTGAATATTGTTTAATCATGATCAAAGGCTTTGAAGGTTCATGATAGCTGCAAAAAAACATAAACAACTCAATGCTAATAGAACTACCAAATTTGATAGCACTTATTAAGAAATATAAATCAAAGATGCATAAAGTTAAACTACATATTTGATAATTGTATATCAATAAATTATTTACATATTTGATATGAATATAAATTCAATATTTTCATTTTGCAAAATCAAGAAAAGAGCATAAATTTTTTGTTAATATAAGAAAATCATGAAGAAAATAAAAATAAAATAATAAGGCTATATAAATATATTATAATAAGAGGAATTTCTATGGATACCATGAAATTATCATATATTTATATATCTAAGTTCTAATATTTTTTATTTTTATTATCTAAATCACATCTTTATATATTATATGGAAAAGTATATTTTATTTTAAACAAATTATTAATATTAATAATGTTTCAATATGATTGAGAGATTAACATTATGTACATCTATGAACAAACGATTATAGCATTATTCAACAAAATCATACATGGGGTTCTGGTTGGGTGTCCAATGGGTGCCCATGCTCGGTGCTGACGGACTTCACCCATCCATGGTAACTTTCGGGATGTCGTACCCACTCATACCCAGCTACTTTCCATATTTTTTGAACGCAATCTGCCACGGACT